CCACCGCGACTACCGTGCGCCCATTCCTATCGGCAGTCCTCGACACCATCTTCTTCCTACGCGCCGATTCGGTCCACGAGATATATAACGAGGACCTCTACGTGACGGGCCATCTCCTCGTTTTTCGTGAACGCCGGTTCAAGACCAAGGCGACCAGGGAATTACAGTGGCGCCTCCGCGAATTTGACACCCGCGGGGTGCCCGAGCTCCCCGCCCTGATCCGCCATTTCCGGGATCTCCGCGCTTCGCAGTGGGCCCGCCGCCCGGGAGCTGGGCCTCTACACCTCCTGCAGTTACCGGCCGATCGGCGGCCTCCCACCGCCGCGGCTGTTCGGGGCTGGTTCGGCTCTGCCTCGGCACATCTCCCCACCCCCAATCTCACCCACCACAGTACCCGGCGGACAGGCGCTTCATCCGCCTTCTCGATTCTCGTCCCTGAGAGCCGGATACGCGATTGGGGCAGGTGGGCGCCTGAATCCAAGGCCCTTTGGCGCTACATCGACCGTCAGCGGACACCCACCGAATTCGACTTCCGCCTGTTCGGGTGGATGGTGGCGCCCGCCGACCACCTCCGCGCCGCGATCCAAGATGTCTTCCGCGGCTCCCCCTCCTCATCTCCACCGGCTCTCGGGCCTCTACCGGAGGCTGCGCTCCCTGCTGCACCCTCTGGTTCTCCCCCGCCCCAGCCCGGCCCGTCCGCAGGGCCCTGAAGCTGGGGCGGGTCATCTTTTGGAGCTTGGCACACTTTCCAATGAATGAGTACTTCGGGGACACTGCGTTTGGATTGTTGTATTATGTAATATCATCTACTTGCGCCGCACTTCGTGCCTGGGCGGGAAGCCGCAGGAAGCCGGACGTAAGTATTGGTTACGGAGTCTGCGGAGTAAGCTAGTTTACGGGAGGCCCGAAGGCGGGCGGGAGAAAAATACTGGTTGGGTCTTAGTACCTGTCTACCGGCAAGGGCGGGGGTCGCCCATGGGACGATCACAATGCATTGGAAATGCAAAGTTTTGGGGCACGCGTGCTGCCCGTAGTTTCTGGCAGGGTAGTGGGACGTTTGGGGCAGCGCGCGCGCACACACCTCACTTCGTTTTCGCCCTCCCTCCCACACCTGGGGGGGATTGGCTGCGCTGGATATTTGATCTTTTGGAGAACGCTTAGTCACGAGGTGACAGGGACCGGACAAGGCACACTTTCCAATGAATGAGTACTTCGGGGACACTGCGTTTGGATTGTTGTATTATGTAATATCATCTACTTGCGCCGCACTGCGTGCCTGGGCGGGAAGCCGCAGGAAGCCGGACGTAAACGTTTGCGTTTTCATTTAGTAGTGCACGCCACCCCTCTCATACCCACGCTGCCTAGCCAGAGAAATTGCAGCTGTGGGATGGCCTAGGCCACGAAGTGCAGGATCACAGGGCTGACTCAGGGATGTGTTGTGAATAGAGCACATCTAAGTAATGGTTACTTGAGTTGAATTGTCACGTCACGGACACCATTGTGTTTCGTTTGTGTGAAGTTTGGTTGGAGACCACTTGTGTTGCTTGGTCAAAAAGACTAGCGAAGTAGAAACGCATGATTCTGGCCCAAGGCCCCCTAGTGTAGGTCATACCACTGCCGGGGTACGTTCTACCAGCAATGACTATCGAACTGACCTGTGACGACCAACTTGTTGTGGCTTGCGCCCAATATATGGCGGGGTCATCCAGCGACCGTGGCCTGCAGTTGGAGCAAATAGTGAGAACGCCAAAGGCAAATGGCGACACCACTCAAATGGCATGAGATGCCAGCGACAACAAACAACACCATCTGGGTTGTGGATATCACCATCATTTTTAACAGAACAAGGCAATGGGGTAGCCGTCAGATTCCTATTTTGCCTCAGCAAAGCAGTGTCTATGATCAGTTCATTGAAATCTAATCTAACGTAAACACAAACAAAGTCTGTGAGTTCATTAACTCTAATGCCAAGAAGCGATTGTTGGTGATAATACATCAAACAAGTGTCCTCGGCAGTTGGCGACCAGGAATCGAAGGAAAAAGTGAGTTTGCGTTGCAAAATCGCAAAAGACAAGAGTGGCTTTGACGGATGTTAACCAGGCCTGGCAGTGGAAGAGAAATGGGATCTCATCTTCTGGAGCCAAGTGACATAAAGAACACAATCGACTTGGTTGTGGATGCGAATTGGAACTGAATCGGCACAATGCGTACCACCGACAGCATTGCCGCAGACAAGTGTCCAGTTGTTTCAGAGCTCACCAGACAGGAATGAATGGAGCCGCTGATGGAACACTGGGTACAAACCGTGGGAGGCCCGCCAAAATTGTAGTTGGCCAAGCCACGTCCTTGCATCTGCAGGCCCAGTTCACGAATCTAAGGAGCGATTCTGCTGCAGAACTTCCAATTCTTTTGCAAAGATCCGGTCTCACCGCAAGGCGAACGAGGGAGCCTGACCTCCCTCGCACATGTCTCACAACGAAACAGTGAACGGCGTTCTCTTCCATACTCAATCAACCATCTGCATGCTCCTAAAACAGCATGGCCCTTTGCTACTTGTCAGGAAGCCATCCGTTGCTGCTAGGCTGCCGACGCGCAGAGGCTGATTGATCGGCTGTCCGGCCTCCAATCGCCCTTTTTCAGTGGGAGGGGGGCAGCCGGCTCCCTGTCCTGTGTTGTTGTCCATGGTCGACGATGGGCGCACTTCACCCCAAAAACCCGGTTGGCCAAAGTCCAGAAACCGACACCATTGCCTAGGACCAAGGTTAAGGGAAAGATTCATCCATTTATGGGCAGGGTTGAATTTCTTTCCCAATCTGCACCGCTGGTAGGAAGTTGTACACCGTCGTATATCATGGCAACGGCAAATACAAGAGTTGAACAGTCTTCTGCACCCCCATTTGGCCGTCTTGGCTGCAGATCGCTCTGCTAAATACCGTGCCCTAGTTGACGGCCTATCTCTGACCTGCGGATGCCTGCTGTCCCAAGTATGGCCAGCTTATGCTTCTCATTACTGTAGTGACTAATCGCACAGCTGATCCATGTCCCAGACAACCAATAGTCTTTGTAATCGAACATGTGTTCAGCTTTTGCAACGTCGTTAGTGCTTCCATGGTCGAATGAATGGTGATGGTGGTGGCTTCCACGGCCGACGCTGGACAGCAGTAAACTTTCAGCGTGGCGACCACATTTAGATTCTGAGAGCAACTGCCTGTTGCTCAACAAGCAAAATTCACAACAGCTTCAATAATCGACACGCCATTTTCCCCTTATTGCACTCTGTCTCTGGACAATGAAACAAGACGTTTTGAATAAGAAAATGCCGCATGAACAGAGCACAACTGGGCGCAACACAAACGTGAGGGAGGGTGTCAGGTGTTCACAGTAACAGCCACATATCTGCAGTTCTGCGCGCTTGTGCAATTTGGTCCTCTAATTTTTGCGTGTACCGTTTTTCATTTCCATATCGGGAGTCACCCATTCATCAACACCGGTGGTTGTGGATAACTCTTCGCGTTGCAAGCCAAATCATGGTCACTTGATGGTCATAAATCCATCATGGTCATTTGATAATAAACGCCGCATTATAGATGGCAAGGAGAGCATGACACTGGCAAGGGTACCCAGGAGAGGCAGGAACGTGAGTGGAGCTGATCGCAGTTGCACAGCAAATCAAATTAATGCAATTATGGCTAATGGCTTAGCAGTGCGCCTCGCAGCTGCTGGTCCACAATCACAAACATTGTCTTCACAGCCCACCAGTACACCGGCGCCAGAACTCCGCCCTGTCAACAAGGAAGCCAAAACCCTACCAATTAACACTAACTGAGCCGACGATGTTCAGCCACAACAAACTACGTGTTCGGAATCTGTCATTCCAATCCATTGAGCACGGCTCCCTCACACTTCCATTGATAGCTCAGGACCACGCTCAGTGGACAGACCAGCCCAACTCAATGCCATCGTCGGCTGGTCTTGCGCCTGCCAACAGAAAATGCGTTATTCAAGACCATCAGGCGCTGCCTGGTGTGAAGGGGGCCAATCCCTGCACTGTTGGACAGCAGCGCCAATACGCGCCAGCGCAATCAACCATTCGAGTCAAGTTTTCTGGCTCATAGCCCCATGCGATGGCCCTTGGCAGTACACCCGTTCCTGTACCCAGTCAAGATCAAGACATCCTATCTCAGCACAGGGCTCCGTATTCTAAATTATCCAGGCCCTGAAGTCAGGAGACGTCGGCGCTCATGGCTGCAAGATACTTCAGTCACATCAGGGCTGAAACTTCATCCATTGCGTGCACACGACTAGAAGCTTCCCTAACCAACCCTCTACGATTAGGCATCAACTAACAAGAAGAAATTTCAAAGGCGACGATAGACCACAGCCTTAATAGTGTGACCCCCAGCCTGTGCTCGTCACATAAAGCGAATCTATCCCTAGTTAATCTACCCGACAGTCAGCAGAAACGATCAAACCCAAATGATAATAAATGTCCTTTGTCGTCGTCTAAATGGGTCCACCAGGCAAACTGCCATACATAAATCGAATTAATTCTAACCAAAGCTGATACGCACAGTTGGCTGGCTACACAGAGGCCACGATCTGCCGGTCAGGCAACCTCTCTTTCAATCCAAGCCCTTGCACCAAAGGTAAGCCCGCCTAATGATCGAAATTCAATCATGTGCTCAATACATCGAATGCCAATGCCACTCTATCGTCCTCCCACAGAACAAATGAATTCTTGTAAACAGGTCCTGCAGCAGCTTCTCCAGTGCTTCTCCAGTGTGTCTTCCCCCCTCAGTCCCACAAACCACCAGCCTGTGTGCCACCCACAAAATGCCAACCCACAGCTCGCAACTCAAAACGCCAGCATCACCAGCACCCTCCCCACTGAACCACACACATGGAGTGTGCAAGACCCCATCAATTCCAATACACAAGGGTGCACAATCCCAAACACCCCCCACCCCACCCACCCACAACCCCCTACCCCCCAAGTCTGCTCACATGCCTTGAGGGAGCACTTGACTCCCCACTTGTGAAGCCAACTTTTCGAGCTCCAGCTTTTCCAGCAGAAGACCTTGTGGCAGGCCCTTTGGGTACTCCATTTTTACCCTGGCTGGGCCCTGGTGTGGGTGGGGGACTTGACCTCCAAGCATCCTGGCATCCAGACCCCTGCCAGCAGCACCTAATGCAATGGAAGTTTCCAGGCTCGCCCTCACAGACAGGGGGTCACCAATGCCAAGCGGCAACATGTCGGATGGCGCAGGTGTCTGCAGCAAGGGCATCTGTGACACAGGGATCAGCGTTTGATCCATGTTGCCACCGACAGACAGTACAGTGCTGGACGTGCTCTGTCCTCCAAGACTCAACATGAAGTTCTGATTCATGGGACTCAGCATGGCCACCAGGGACTGCGGATCTGTCTGGCCATGGCACTGAATCTGCGCCTGAGCATCAGCCTGTGCCTGTGCATGGGCCTGTGCCTGCACCTGTGCATGGGACTGAGAGAACATTCGCTCCTGGACACTTAGCTGCTGCGAGGAGGCCGTTGCTTGCAAGGGTGTGTCGCTTGCTTGAACAGGCAGCCCACTCATATTCTCCGGCATGGGAGCGTGAGGCCGCATCTGCTTCAGGACATCACAATTCGCCGCGCCCTGCAACCCCGCAGAACTGGCTTCAGGTGAGAAGAGCACCCTGACACTGGCACCCATGTTCCCCTGAATCAGCGAGGAGGTCAGCATGCTGCCACATAAACAGCTGTACAGTGTTGCGGGCCTACGATGAATCCTTACCTGCCCTCCTGCTGGGTTTGCTAGAAATCCATTCAGCCGCCTGAGCAACAGGCTGATCACTTCTCTGCTCATGGTCAAGTCGTCCTTTGCCCTCTCATCAGAAGATGCTTTCTCTGCCTGAATCTTTGCCACCTCAGTCCGCAGGGCTTCAACATCATTTTCCAATCTCCTGCAACTCACACAAATATGCGTGCCATGAGCACCTGGCTGCCAGTGACAACAATGTTCTCATGGAATTCCTACAACACCATTGCTTGTGGTACAGTTGGCATTGGCAACTCTGCCCGTGCCCTCACTTCAAAAGGGGCAGGGAGAATGCTTACAGCAACAACACGTATGCCAGAATATCAATACTTTCACTGATGTGGTTGGGAAACTCGCCTGGTCAGTGCCCTGTGGGCATGGCTGTGAGGAATTACTTCATGGACAGCCATTTGAAAGCAAACAATTCAAAACCACAACCGTTTGGCACAATCTTACACGGTGTGTAGAAGAATTCATCTGGGATGAACTGTGTGATGAGTGCTGACTGATTCGCCATGTTTGATGTGTTTGGATCTTTACCTGTTGGTGGTGGTCGTCAGTCCGTGGTCTAGATCTGCAAACGATCTCTAGGTATTCAGGTAATCATGCCAAGATGATATCTGCCATTTGTAGAACAGCTGCATCTGATAAGGGCAACCATGCATTTGGCCCGTGTAGAGCACTCCTGTGTGCCGATCCATTGTTAAAACATGGACAAGAATAACATCAGTACACTCACCTCAGCCGTTTGCGATCATTGTCCACCTCCCTTCTGCATGCTGCAGAACTTTCTGCCTCCCTTTTTGCAACACATAGCTCCTCTCGGGCCTGCCGAAATTCGTTAGCCAGATCTCTTACCTCTGCTCCCAGCCGTTTGAATTCGACGGGTGTCACCTGAGATGGTGTTGCACGACACACCGATGACTGCTTCCCCACAAAGCGAACCTGGTGCCACTGTGCCTGTCGCACACCAGCTACACGTGTCAACATGCAAATCGCCCCAGTTGCTTCGTTTCCTACACTGTACAAGCATTCCATGAGAAACACAACAGGTTTGTGTGGTAAGGACTGCAGATCGCCATTGCCTGCCTCCAACACACACATGAAAGCCCCCAGAATTTCACAATGAAGTGCATTGATACCATGCTCCTTTCATTGTAGGAGTGTGGATGGTTTAAGCAAAGTGTGCCCCAGGGCAAATCAAACTAGGAGGGGCAGGGTCCTAGCTACCTTGTCTACCAAAATCTATCACACCTAGGAAGGAAATCAGGAATACTTGCAGCCACAATATGGCTGCATGAGAAAGCCATGGGGAGGGTCCATGGTATGTACGTCTAGCACAGCAGAAATTCCAGTTGTCCCAGGAAGCACGGCATGTTGGTAACAATGTCCTTCGTTCTGGACAGTTTAACTTGCACACGTCAAGCTGAAACAGCTCATCTTGACCTTTCTGGATGAGTCAGCTTCAAGAGCACTGCAAGAGGAGGCTCTTAAATGCAAGGGCACCTTGAGCACACAAACACATACAGTACCCAAAACAACAGAGCAATTCCAGACCGGAGTGTGCAGTCTATCCTCCAGACTCAAGCACACAGTGTTCAACAAGATGGCCTCCATGTGGAAGAGCTGATACAATGTCCACAGAGCTAGGTGGCCAATCGCTATGTCACATACCCAGGGCAAACCGTACACATTGCATATGCTTGTGTTCCACTTTCATCGCATCTAGGACACGACATATCAAACTCACGGGCACATTTAGTTCCCAGTTGAAGCCTTTTGGTGTGATCCTCTACTTTTATAGGGAGGCCATCCCCACACCACTAATGTTACTGCCAGCTTGGCACACAAGCATAAGGCACCCATATCCTGCTTCATCCAGCGCAACAAGCTGAGATTTGCAGGCCACCAACAGTGGCAGCACCCACCAGATCACCCTCTGGCTCCCTTCCCCGCTTCCCAGTGGCCACCATTGGGTCCTGAGTGGGCATCTGTGCCTCCTGGTGGGCCTCCAGGGCTTCGGGTTGCACATCACCCCGAACATTGTCCTCCACCTTCTCAGGAAGTCCACTCCAAGGCATGTCGCTGAGGCCACTGCCAAACAGTCGAGGAGGGTTCAGGGAGGAGCAAGAACGCTTCACACGTTTGGAGCTGTCCCTGGTAGATTCGGACATGTGGTAAAGGCCGTTGACCACTTCATCTTCTGCCTGCCCAATGCACACAAAGTCCACCATCATATTCCTCCATTTGAAGTTTCCTTGATTTCCGAGAAGGGCAGTAGCAAGAGAGGCATGGCTCTAGAATAAAACATGCAACAGAAACATCGCTTGGAAGTTACAAGGGCAATGCAGGAACTCTCTTGAACAAAAGCCAACACTGGGCAACATGAAACCACGTGATGGGCCTACTCTGTCACCGGCCTCAGCAACTCGCTCGACTTCATACTTAAGCTTGCTGCTAGCCTCCCACAGCATCAATCAATCCCAGGTGGCAAAAGATTTATCTTCACTTTCAACTACTGTGAATGGCATACTAGCACACTGGGCACTGTGGAGCTGAAACACATGCGTTCTGCATAGATCACGCAAACAGCCAGCTGTTGTATTATTTTCAGTGGTGATGATGTCTCTGGCATGTGAGCTTGCCTGCAAGCTGCAACATACCAGGAATGTGCCTGGTAAAAGAGAGGACACTGAGTTCATCATGAAATACCCACGTTGTGCTTTGGGTGTGAGGGCAAAGGGCAAGCCAAGAACTCATTTTCTCATCTGTTCTTGCAAGGTTTCTTTGTACTGTTTCATGCCAATGACTGCTGCAGGAGTTCATCTCGCAGAATTCTTTGCTGTGGGTGAAACTAACATATGGCTGAAACTACAGACAAGCATACCTTGTAAGTTCTCATCGCTTGCTGCAGGCTGTCCACCTCGCACTGTGAAGTGTGCAGCAGCCTGCTCCTCGGGAGTGACAAAGACTTCGAACGCAATGAAGGTGGGCTGTTGGGGCCATCGTTATGATCGCTACACTCTGTTTCACCTGAACAATGTCAAATAGATCAGGGCCACAGGAGACAGTGTCACAGAACAGCTCACAATTGATCCAAGGTAATACGCCACACCTTCAAGCAGCTGACAGCAGCACTTACCAGTTGCAGCAGCAATCAGAGCATCAAATCTTTCACTCGTGCTTATGGTGGGCCTCAAGAGCTGGCCATTTAGCCCACCACCATCCTTGACAAAAACAGAGCAAACAAATCAGCCTCAATCATTCCAAGCACAACTGTGAAAATCCTTCCCTGCAAGTGGATATGAGATTGTGCCATGATTGGCTCCGTTCTGCAATGCTATTTTGGTCGGTAAACGCATGTTTTGAGCATCTTTGTGTTCAGAAACTGGGCCTACATGCCACTCAATAGTGTCTGAGCTCAGATGCTGTGCTGCAAGCACAATCTGGAAAAGAATGTGGCTCAGCCTAGAACTATCAAATTGGGCATCCCATAACAGAACAAACCCTATCTTTCAGTACCGCAGGTTTCCTACAAAATAAAAAGCCGCAAGTTTTTATAGGCAATAAAATAGCATGCACAATTCAAAGTGTGTTGTATGGTCATCGGGACTTGACTAGGATCTGTGCCACTGGGCCACCAGCGTCTTTCCTAAACTGTAAAATGCCTCCTCGTGTGATTCATCTCTGCACAACTGCTAGAATTTCCCCAATATACCACTCAGCATCGCTTCCATGTCCATGAAAACGTTCTTTACTGAAGCACATCAGATTCACACAACACAATCTGCTACACAGCACATTTCCTCGGAGGATACTGCACAGTACAAACCATCAACTGGAGTAGGCCAATGCTGCAAGGGGCCAGCAGCACATTGTAGCATGGGCATCATAGATCAACACAAGGGTGGCACAGAACAACAGTGCATGGAACTGCAGAACAGTGCAACATCCTCACATGCTGTGCTTTCTGAAAGTCCGCGTTTACAACATCCATCAAAATTTGGTATACCACCCCACTTTATCATGAGATTTGTGGTGCCATACCCTGTTTTGGCAAGAGCATGCATCTGCTCCAGCAGACACCAGGATGCTCTCATTGCTCTTCTGGTCCAGCACTTCCACATCCACTAGGCAGGGGCAAAGGTCCAAAGTCCGCAAGTTGTGACGAATTACTGGCGGCATGGGCAGACAGCTAGTCAACTCCGATTCAAAGACATGCTTGTGAAGATGAGGGAAGCTGGTTTGTCAAATGCATACTAGCACAGCACTGAGATGTCTTGCAGCCAAAAGACAAGGGCAGAATTGAGGTTTTCATGCAGCTCATGAATCCAATCCCAAGAACAGCAAAATTTTCATGGAAGCACACACATCAAGGAGTGTCTTTTCTACCTCTCTATTCACCAGAGGGGCTTGCATGGGCCTGGGCCTGCAATGCATGAACATTGTACACTGGCACATTCAAGCATGTGCTATACCCCACTCAAATACTTGCAAGAGCACCAACAGAACCAAAAGCAAAAAACAAAATGTGCCTGACTGTCAACCCACCAGTGAACATGTATTGGTCATCTGTTCCATATCGGTTACGGTCCAAATTTGTGGAATATTGGCTTCCAGCATTGTCAGTTAGGCAGTGCCGCCGCAACTCATCAGACACTCTGTGCGTGGCCGAAGATAAATCAACAACCTTTGTGTGTCGGGTGTCTGTCGACAGAATCTGAACGAATCACACAATCCTGTTTCAATTTATGACATGTGCAAATGCCTGCAGTTAGCAGCATCTTCATTCTCATCAAGACATCACCAGAATGCTATGAGCGTTTCCTTGTGCACAAATACAGGTCGATCTCTGAAGTGCAAGTACAAGTACTGTGCACAAAATCAATATCTATGCAATGAGGCACGTTGGCTTCTTCATTGCTGTTCCTCCACTGTGAACAGACTCAGAAACAGGGGGTCTAAGTCAGCTGTCTCAACCGGCATCAGGCACTGGTGCCCAAGCCATGCTCAGCTGGCACCCCAAGGCCTGGTGACTACAGCTAACTGCTCTTTTGTTGCAAGTCAACCTCACCTTAAAGATGTTGCGTGGTTGGCTGGATATCGCTACCTCAGCATCCTGCAGGCCAGCCAGCACCTGTGCCCAACACATTTTCCACAGTTGGAAACACAGTATCCAGAAGGGCAGCACAGGTTCCCTACTAATTTCGAGTGCAACATGCTTCAACCAAGGCTCCAGGCACAAGGGTATCCTTCAACTGAGGGGGTCTTGGGTTCGTGCCATGCTGCACTGAGGGATGTTGGACTGAAGCTAGCATGGACAAGTGGATGTAAGGATGGATCTGCTGCGCCCGGGCACAATAGCCGAATCAATTGCGTGTAGAAGAAGCAGAGAAGAAACAAAGAAGAAACAAAGGGGTTCAGGTTATGTTAGATGGATGGGGGCTGTTGACATGTTCTTTACCAGCAGTCTGACATGTGCTCCCCAACAAGTACATGCAGACTACCAAAATGAGGTGCTTTGGACTGCAAATCCACCATCCTGCAGTCATCAGGTCAAAACGTAATGTGCAAATCACTGACTTGCAGTGTACCAATTCATGCTGATTGAAGATTGCTGCTGATTGAAGATTCAATTTGAAGATGAGTTCTTGCTGTATTTGTATTTGGCTAAAGAAATTGGGAAATACAATGTCAAAATATGTATCAGGAACTACAATCCCACAGTCATAATATGGTGCCACATCCCGCATTCGCCCTGAACAGGTATAGTGTCCCCACATCTTGCAATGGCTGACCTGCAGAAAGGCAGCTGTCACGCTGGCACATGCATCAGTTTCCGACATCAGATGCATTTCATTGTCATAGGATGTCTTGGGAAAGTGCTGCCAACGGAAGTATGCCTTGTACCTGTGCATATCCAAAAACAAGCATGACTATCGACAGCTTTCCTGGCATCAGCATTTTTGCAAGCAATGCAGATTGTTTGCTCCCATCAGTTCTCATTGCCACATAAACAGCAGCACAGATTGGCCACTAGATGCAACACCCATTCTCTCGCAAGACCGCTCTGATCAGAGACTCTGTGTCCCACAGAATCTATTAGAGCCGCTCTACACTCAGTAGCTTGTGCCAATGGGTGCTGCGAGTCACTTGTGAATATTCTGGGAACAGAACAGGTGGACATTAAGAGTGCCAGTCACCACCTGGTTGGTGCAGGAGCAGCGTTTTGTCCTGCAAGGTGAAAAGCAATCAAAGTGGAAGTTCACAGGTTTTGAAACGCAAAGGAAAAGCTGAACAAAATAGCTGGGCATGCTGCAAGACTGCACTTTAGGCCTGTAGTGGCCTGTATACTTACAACAGTTGGTTGTTGGTTGGTCTCGTCCTCAGCGGGCACTTGTCCTTGTGTTGGAGTGTCTGCCTGCTGGTGCGCATGTGCTTGCGCTGGAATCCCCAGCTCGTGCGTCCGTCGATCGGCTGTGGTGTTCGGACTACACATCGAGCCTTCTCAGTACTATTTTGGTGTCCGTTACCACCACGGGGGGCAGAGTGAGACATGCTGCAACAATGTGACAGTCACACAGAGTTAGATATACCACAAGTAAGGTATGTCCTTTGGACAGTTGCCCATTTCCATTGTCTTTGTGGTACCTTCACAGCACCCAAGCTATCGCGTTTCAGGCATCAGAAAGGAACA